GAATGTATTGAATCTATTAGATTTAGAAATGCCTGCATCAGCAAAATCATGGCTCAGCAGAACCAAAGACAAATGTGTGTTAAAGAGAAAGAGATTATATGGTTTGGAGAAAGGGGCACCAAAGTGGCATCTATAAGTTTGGGACAGGGATTACACAGGGGAGGTTTGAGCCATCAATAAAAGACCTAAAAACTCAAGAACTTCTAGATCACAACCTTTGCCCTGGTGAATCTCCCACTGGCCTCAGAAATCAGACCAAGAATTCATGTTACCTGCTTCTCCTTTCTGCCCACCCACAGTGCAGAGGGAAGCTCAGGTCCCACCTCCTGCAGGTTTTGCTTGTCTTGGATTATTAGCAAATGTGGCCCCCATGACTTGAGTCTTCATCTGCCCCTGCAACTAAAGAAAGGCAAACTGCCAGAAGGTATTAGAATAGGAGATCAATGGGCTTGGCAGTTAAAGAGTGAGACATGTCCCAAGTCCACTGACTTTCTTCTGAGGACCAGTCAAGAAAAATAGTATGCAGGGTAAGCATAAGAGGATCCTGATATAAAAACCATTTTTTTCTTTAATCAGATCAGCAATATTTAGGGTACTTTACAGGGAACAGTATGTTCTTTGCAGGAAAACCTAAAGAACAAGGTAAACCATTACCACATTAAACACTGTCTTATCAAATCAACCTGTATCAAAATGCATCACAATACACTAGTGAGTAATGCTGGGGCTCAGCCAAGCCTGGGGCTTACATCAGGCATAGTTCCTGGGCAATGATTTCCAACTTCCAAATAAGTTGAGATCACAACCTTTTCACCATTGTTTCCTACCAGACAAAGGAGTGGGTGTCACCCTCAGCCTTTTCCAGACCATTGAAAGACAACAAGATAGTAAAGCAACCCACCCACCCCATGTGCAATTCCTGCCAACTCCAAACATCCTGAAACAATAGGCTGAACAAGACCAGAAGACAGGGTTTATGTGAGGTCCAACACCTCTGCCTGAGAATGAATCATAAAACCACTAGCACTCCATTCCCCAGCATTACACCATCTAGCCTCAACCTGGTCCAACCATGCATAATGAAAAAGAAATCAGGAACATGCTGAACTTTTTTAAAACCTCAAGTACATTTTAAACCCTGTTTTAGATTCATTTAAATTAACCTAGGTCAGGCAACCTCTTTATTCAAGCCGAGTTATTCTTACTGGTTTAATAGCAAAAGTGGTCAGACACATTTTTCTATTAAAAAATTTTAAAATAACCTGATAGAAGTACATTGTAAAACTCAGTGGAGACTATGGAAACAGTTTACGATAAACTTGGCCTTACAAAATAATAAAGGAAATTTCTCAGTTACTTGGCACAGGGAAACAACTATTTGTATATTATTAAGTATTTCGTTGGTCACAAACTAATAGCACAATTTTCAATTTCTAAAATAGCATTTTTCAAAAATGTCTTAAAAGGACACCAATGCAGCAAGAGAACAGTGAGCCAAATACTCTTGAGAAGCTCTGCCTTCCCCAGTCTGCTGCCTGGAAATGAGCCCTACACACTGGCATATTGGAGAATAGGAAGTTGTGGTAAACTCCGTGGAACCCAGCATGTCCCCAAGTTCACTTGGCCCTCAAGCCCCTTTTCTCTCATAACACATCAACTTACCACAAAATGGCTATTCTGCCCAGCACACTTTGGGCAAGATTCTTTGAGAAAAGGAATATAAATAAGTAGTTTAAGAGCTGAGACTCTAGAGTCAGCCTGATTCAAATAACAGCTATACATTTGTTAGCTGTGTGACACTGAGCAAACTTCTTGATGTCACTTGTCCCAGGTAAAATGGCCAAATAATGGCAGCTACCTCCTAGGACATGGGCCTTTTCTCCTGACTGGAACAGTCTTCTGAGATCCTCACATAGCTGACTCCTTTTTGTCATTAGGTCTTAGTTTATATTGTCACCCCCTCCAAGTCACTCCCAGCTCACTAGTGCTTTATCTTCTTCAGGACATTTTCCTAACTATAAAATTGTCATCTATTTCTTCCCAATAGAATGCAAGCACCCATGAAGCCAAATTATTGGTTTTCTTTGCTATATCCCCAAACAGATCTTCAATAAGAATTCACCCAATTAATGAATAAATGAATTAGTGAATAAACAAATGAGGTAGTTTTGTGAGTTCAGCATGAATCAGTGTAGAGCACTTCATAGTGCCTGACACACAAACAACTATACAGACCCTTTTGAAAACTTTTGATAAACTATGAGTGGTTAATGCACTCATAATCTCAATTCTTCCAATTTCTAACTTTCAGATGATGCAGTGCGTCTTCTTAATACATTGAGGACATTTCATTTATTCAGAGGCATGCCAATAAATAAGCATTCAGGAATGAAATAGGGGTGAGCCATGAGAGTAGTATTTACCAATTTCCATGGTGATAATATTCCAACTAGGACCAATTTCAGGATATCGATGATTTAATGGACAACTCACACACAACTCCTGAAATTTTAATAAATGACTCTCAGAAGCTACTACAACCCTTCTCTTGGAAAGGATTCTTTCATGTCTCCAAGTCTTGTTCATTGAGTTCAAATTGAAAATGACTTTTATATAGAGACACATATTCCACATTCTTTCTTCTTGATGACCCAAGACATGGCCTATCCACGGACATTAGTTTGATGCTCAAGGAGATGAGTTGGATGTACTGGGCTTTATTTTCTGTACCACCCTTTGTATGCATTCAAACTGATGGTCAATGCTCTAAACATGATCTGTATCCACACTAGACCATTGTGAGAGGACCAACCAGTTTCAGAAACCACAAGTGGAATTGTTTTTAGCCACACAACAGGATGAATGCAGCATCTATTAAGTATTACCAAATAACAGAATCTAATAATAGAAGAAGAGTGAGTCCATCCTGACCACTAGATGCCGTAGAGTAATGAACAATGCTGCAGATGAAGGTTTCTCTGGCATCATAACCTTGCTGTACATACAACATTGTCCCTTTGTACTCAAAATAAAAGCTGTTTGTTCAACTATAGTGATTCTCTATCAACCATAACTTTGAGAAAACACAAGCAAAATTTTAAAATCCAAAGTCAATCTACATGCAAGTAATAAATACCAGTTATTATTTCTCTTCTGTAAACTACATGGGAAGTTTATGGAGTGAAACAGGGAAAGGACTAATATCTGATCTACTGTATTAGCTATCTATTACTATAACAAATCACTCCAGAATTCATCAGCATAAAACAACACACGTTTATTATCTCACAGATTCCATTAGTCAGTAATCCAGGCATAGCTTACCTGGTTTCTCTGCTTCATGGTCTCTCACAAGCTGTAAAGTGTCAGCCCAGAGGCTGTCATTCCATCTGAGGGCTTGACTGTGCAAGGTTCCACCTCTAAGCACACTAAGCGACTGTAGGCAGTTTTCAGTGATTCAAAGCTGTCAGACTGAGTACCTCCATTCTCCACTGTATATTGGCTGGAGACTACCCTCACCTCTTACCACATGAGCCTTTCCATATAGCAGCTTGCTTCATCAAAGCATGAAAGCGAAGGAGGCAACACAGTCTGCTAGCAAGATTGAAATAATAGTCCTAAGAAATCTAATCATGGATGTGACATTGACATCTCATTACCTTTGCCATATTCTATTGTTTATATGCAAGTCATACATTAGCCAACACTCAAGGAAGGGAAATTACAGAAGGATGTGAATCCAAGAGGCAGGGATCACTGGGGATCATCTTACAAGTCTTCCCACCATATTCATTCTCTTGGAATATGGATGGGAAGATTCTGCTTAACAAAACATCGCTTCAAGTATCTCAGTATGAAACAAAGCCATGTGGCTTCCCAAGCATGCGGCTAAGATCTCATGAAAAAATAAAATAAAAAAGAAAACCATAAGGGAGAATCAGAGTAGAGATCATTAGGGTTGAAGACAAAGTTTGTTCAAATGTTCTAACCAAATACAATCTCCATCAGAGAAAACTCCTGGAAGCATTTGCATTTTAGCAAATCCCAACATGGAAGTCAGGTTTTCTGAACAAATGACTCACAAGAAGGAATGCCCATCTGAACAGGTAGTCAATGCCAAGAAATCTAGTCTGCTCTGGAATTATTTATTGCTGTAGAATATTTTGAGATATATTTAATGCCACTTTATTGCTTATGATTTGCTGTGTGATGCATGTCCCCTTCAGCATATTTGCCTACATGACACTTTCAAGGTCTGTATCCACCACAGTGGCAAGTAACTGCTGGAACAATTTCAAACCCTGGCTGTCACCCACATTTTTTTCTAACCTTTACCCAACTACATATTCTCAGATATCTGAGCATCACAACATTTCAATGGTGATAGAAAACCAGACAGACTGTCTGTAAAGGACTTCAATGATTTAATCCACTAAGGGCAAAACACATACTCAGAAAACCCAAAACACTGTGTCCTAGACAAATGTAAATGCAGACAAAGATTATCTTAAATGTAAACGTTCAAAATTGGTCTGCACAGTTTACCATTCTTTCCAGAAACACCCATTTGTTTTACTTCCTGTACATTCTACCCTCAATTCAGTTATAAAAATATTTAAGTTCACTCTGTTGCTAATAACCTATTTGTTTTGTTCCTTTAAAGAGATGATGTTTGATAAACAACTAAGCTTACGTAGTGCTATACTTAAAAGACCCCAAAACTATCGCCACCTGTGGGAAACAACTATAAACCACTTTAGGATTATCATGTGTTGCACATGCTTGGATCCCGAGTACCTGAATATGAATGGAATGCATGTGTGGTGAAAAGGGGAAGAAACTAAGGTAAAATTCCAGTTTAATGGTCATAAGCAGACAGAATGATTATAAAGCAGATGATGAAGGAAATTTTATTAAAGCTGAAGATATCTTCCCACCTATGAAAATAACTTGATAACAACTTAATTTATAAAATAAGAGAAAGTGAGTCAATGTCTTACCTCTCTCAGATGAATGTTTTCCTTCTCTTTCTGGTCTAAAATTACTTCCAAGTGGCTGACCTGAGATTCAGCCTCTGCCATCCGGCGCGTCCGCTCATTGTCATCCTCAAGGCTTTTGGATGGTAAACCTTTACTTTGCAACATCTCCAGGAGCTTTTTGATTGATTCATCTCGGGCATTGAGGGTCTGTTTCTGTGTCTCGATTCTTAGCTCCATTTCCTCCAGGGTCTTCCTCAACAGGAAGAGCTCCTTGGCCTGTCTGTCATGCTCAGCCTGGAGCCTCCTGAAGTTCTCCTCCGTCAGCTCAATGGTGAAGTGCTCCGCTCCACGGTTGCCACTCTCCTGCTGCAGGAGGTGGTTGAGGTCTCTCTGGGTTCGCAGCTCATCCTGAAGGGCCTGGATTGTCAACTGCAGGTGCTACGATGAGAAAGACAGAGCAGGATAGGAAAAGGAAAAAAGTCAATGAAAGTATCAGGCACTGTTTGCTGCTTCCACACCATGAAAATGGAATGTTAATCATGAGTTCCAGGGGGCCAGCCATGAAGTCCTCCATGGTGACTTCAGAAGCATGGGACAGCACATGGAAAGGGGATATTAATTCAGTGATGCTTTCTGAATGTCTTAGGAGAAAAGAAATGTACACATACACAGAAACAGTATATTAGTGTCAATCACAAGGGAAAGTATACATCTATAGAGCTTTAATTTAGGAAGTGAAAGGGTTAGAGGGAAACTTTCACAAACACATCCTATTTATGCCCACAACACTCCAGACTCAGTATTCCTTGTTTCCTAAGATGTTCTTTATTCTACTATCCATTATTTTTCCTGATAAATGTATGTCCATTTAAAAATGAAAATAATAGCATCCACTACAAGTAGACACAAACAGGGACTTTTTTAAAATTTTATTTATTTATTTTACAAATAAAGCTGCGAACAGGTTTAGTAAACAGGATTACTGCCTCTGCAAGCAAAAGGGAACAAATGCAGACACAGACAAACACACCCAAACACACAAGGAAGTGAGGCTGTACAGAGCAAAACAAACAAGCTGCAAAGAGTGGACAAACCTTGGTTCTTCTGGCATCCAGTAACTGAACAGCATGAGAAATGGAAAAAAAAAATGAAGCAAAAAATCAACACAAAGAGAAGTCCAGTGCAAGCAAAGGATATTTAACAAAAAGCACTTAATCAACATAGAGTACCTTTACAGAAGGAAAAAAGAAAAAAAAAATCTTATTAGAGCAAAGACCCATAAGCTACACAGCATCTATAGCACTGAAGTTTGATACATGTTGGGGGGGAAAAAAAAGAAGTAAAAACGAAAAAGAAAAAAATAATAATTGTGAGGTTTATTCCATCTTTCATTTTCCTAAATCTCACAAGACCCAAAGTCTTAGATGTCTTACCAGGGAGGAAATCACAACACTCCAAAAATACCCATATGTTGTTTCAGGTCGCCACTACAACCAAAATCAGAGTGGAAGCACCACAGAAACAAAATTGTTACCAGTTGTGAAAAAAGAAACCCTTGCATGAAGTCATTTGGTCAATTCAGCAACACCTTCCCCGTAGAGCCAATTGGAGGAGGCAGCCATAAGCCTGAAGGTATTTTTGTCCTAGGGACAAAACCAGGAGACTTCAAAAACAGCAATTACTCATTCATTCACAGACACATAATCCTATTTGTGGACAAAATACAATGCTAAACACAGGACTCAAGATGGACATAAAGCAAGACTCCTGCCCACAGGGCATTCACAATGTTATACTTGATGGAAAACACTATGTCTACGTTATATAAACATTGGGATAGTCACCATTTTGAAATCCTATGGCTGATACTTAGAAATGTTGAGATCTTTCTGAGAGAAGCCTATTACCAGAAACTAACACTGTGTGATACACCATTGGATCATACGAGTATCTACTTCTCTTTACTATTTAGGAATGTCCACTGAGAACTTCTTAGATCATAGGAGACAAGTACCATTTTCATCTACATGCCACAGCACCTCTCAGAGTACTGCAGGGAGAGTAGCAACTGGTATGCATTAAACAATAGAGGTTATGAATTATTTTTGTAATACAATGCACCTATGTAAAATGTAAAATTCAGTAGGTTGTAGAATATTCACAAAGTGCAATCATCAACACAACTTTTTTTTTTCCTTTGGTGTTGCTGGGGATTGAATTTTGTGCCTGCAAGGCAAATACTCTACCAGCTGAGCTAGATCCACAGCCCAACACAACACATTTTTGAACATTTTTATCACCTCAGAAAGAAACGCTTTACAAGTTACTCCCCATCCCCTTCGCCCTTCCACAGCCCTGGTAACCACTAATTTACTTTTGGTCTCTATGGATTTGTCCATGTTAGACATTTCGTAACAACAGAATCATATAGTAAGTGGTTTCTTTCACTTAGCATGTTTTCAAGGTTTATCCATGATATAATAAAGTCTCAGTATTTCATTCCTTTCTATAAGGATTATTCCAAAATTGGGATAAACCACATTTATCTATTTTTCAATTGATTCATACATGGATATTCATAGCAACGTTATTCATATTAGACAGAAAGTGGAAATATTCCATGTCAACAACTGACAAATAGGTAAATAAAGTATGATATTTTCATTCAATGGGATATTATTCAGCCATAAAAAGTATTAAAGTAGGAGTATATACTACAAGGATAAATGTTGAAAACATTTTGTTTGTCATTGTGAAAGAATTTAATCACAAAAGATTACAAATTTTATGATTCCACTAATGAATGTCCAGAATAAGCAAATTTGTAGAAAATAAATTAATAATTGCCAGGAGGGTGAGAAAGAAGAAATGAACAGTAACTACTAAATAGTATGGGATTTCTTTGGGGGATGATAAAAATGTTCTAAGATGTTAGTTATACAGCTTTGTAAATATACTGAAACTGATGAATTTTATACTTTACATGGGATAAATATATATCTCAATAAAGATGTCATTAAAAAATGAGGTGGAAACAAATGCTAATACAATCTTTTTCCATATTGCACTAAACCAATCAAAACAAAGCCCACAAGAGAATATATAGCATTTAGTGGTGTAGCTGCTGCCAAGTCTCTTGGGAGCATGCTTTAACAACTGTCTTCTGATTAAATATTCATCCTTTCTTCCTTCCTTTGACTGGAGACTAAACCCAGGGGTACTCTACCACTGAGCTACATCCCTGGCCCCTTTTTATTTTTTATTTTGAGTTAGGAGCCAAGTTGTTCAGGTGGGCCTCAAATTGGTGATCCTCCTGCCTTAGCCTCCTAAGCCACTGGGATTATAGGTGTGTGTCACCACACCCAGCTCAATTAAATATTATTGATGGCAAATCTTCATCCTTTGAAGATGGCTTGGATTTCTGAGATGATCCAAATTTATTTGGAGACAAACATGATGAATCAGGATGATCAGAATAGAAAGTATCTTTTCTGAGAGTAACCAAAATAAGATTTATTTTCTCGTATGGTTTATAAACTGGCCAGAGGGAATTCCAAAGAAAAATTGCTGAAATGATTTGAGCAGAGACAGAAACACTGGAAGGACAATTTTGTAAAGGAAATGGCATTTTGGTTGAATGAGTTACCTATTGTTTCCACCTCTACAAAGTGGAAATCATTGTAATACCTACCTGCTCCTATGAGGAACAACTAAGAATATGCATTCAGTGCCAAGTCTGAGGGTAAAAGAAATGAGGTAATTAAGAAGTTAGGGAAGGCGGTAAGTAGGAAGGGAGGTAAATAGGAAGGTTGATAGGAAGAAAGATGGAAAGAAAATAGGAAAGAAGAAAGGGCAAGAGAGAATAGAAGAAATGGTCCATTTATCCATTCAATATACAACGTATGATTTGTTTATTTGTTATAGTGTAGGGGGAGGGACCAGTATCTCCTCCATGCTCCAAAAACATAAAAAAAAATAAATAATCTACTCTCACAATTCCCATGGACAGGTAATTCAACAGAATCAATACTGTGTCATGAGGGTTATGTTGTCATAGCCAGGTAGCTGGAAATGTACAGAAGATGTAGCCCAGGCTAGGGAAACATAGATAAATATTCCCAAGCCAAGGCACCACCACTGGACTACATCTTGAGGAATAAATGAGAATCTGTCCCCTGAAAAAAGATGGAAAGAGAAGAGACCATGTAAAGGTCCAGAGGCAAAAAGAGACCACCTATTAAGGAAGAATAACAACAAAAATCTGTCTAGCATTTACCACTTGTCACACGTGGTCCTAAGTTCTTCTAACTCTCACAAATGCCCTAAGAGGCACCACTGTTATGATCTCCACTTAATGGATGAGAAAATGAGAGCACAAAGAAATTAATTAACTTGCTCCATGTCACCAGATAGGTAAGATAGGTAAGTTGTCTAGTCAGGTGCTCATCTAGGTAGTCTGACCCCAATGTCCCTGCTCAAACCACTCTGGCACCTGTCCTCGGAAGTGGCACAAATATTTCAGGATGGCTGCAAAAGAATGAGGGTCAGGTGTTAAAAGCAGATAGACAGGCATCTATAGTAGTTATAGCAATTCTACAAGTTAAGAATTAGCCATCCTAACCAGGCTGTTTCTCATGAGAGGTGATTTTGATGGCTATTTCTAGGTCGTACATTTACTAAGGAATAACATTTATTTCCCAGATAGCCTACTTGATTAGTCACTAGATGACTTCGGCATGAGCAAATACAGCCTGATAATCACCCTAAAATTTAGTGTTCAAAAGCTTCTCAAATCTATGTTTACATTCATTTGTCATTCTCTTTTTAAAGATATTCATCGTTTCTCAACCTTCTGGCTAAGATCAAACATAATTTCAAAATATTCAAAATTAAACAGGTCTCTCCTATGTTCCTACAAAAAAAGATGCTTGTGCAAAATGTGAGTACCTTGTAGAGCTTTGATCTTCTTTCTGCTTAACTTCCCTGAGGATGGGGAAGGGATCTGAAGCAATCTCATTCTCATTTTCTCTCTCTCTCTCTCTCTCTCTCTCTCTCTCTCTCTCTCTCTCTCTCCCCCCACCCACCACTATTCTACTCTTAAGAGATTCAACTCAAGTTTCAAGAATAACTCACTAGATTTTCCTTCTCTGGTTAGATATTTAACATAGATGATGTCAATTCCAAAATATAATAGCACCTTTGGTGATAAATAACCCAGGAAAATCATAGCCTTTCTGCCTCAGTTTCCATGTTTGTAAGACAGAGTAATAATTCCTACTACCTAGGAATTGCTAAACTTAATGAAGATAAATCATTTAATGAAGAATAAATGGGTACCAGGAACAGAGTAAACACCTACATCAGTCAAGATGGGCTGGGACTGCTGCCAGAGGACAACAACAATGACCCACATTCTGAAAGGCATAAGCCACCTGCAGACACAGAATCAGAACTTTAAGAGCTGGAAGAGAACTTAAAAAATAGCTTGCCGATCCTTTTTTTAAAAAAACAAATGAGAAAATGAGATTCACACAGGTTATATGAGAGATCTAAGAGCAAATGTACACACTATCAAAACCAAAATGTTGGTTTCTGGAATCCTGGACTTCTCCTGGTGAGACTAAACCAAAATTGGACTCTTCACTTTGACAACCTAGCCATGGTGTCTCCTACAGGGGGGCTAAGAGATTCCCTAAATCATTGCACTTCTGCATCACGGGGTCCGTTCTGGTAATTAATGACATGGAACACCTCAAGAACAACTTAAGATTTCCTTTCTGAGTTCCTGGAATTGGACTGTATAACAGTAGAAGACTCAAGAAAAACTAGTTCTAAAAGACTAGTATACAATTCAAGTTAAATCTCTAGCAAAGCCACACTACCTTCCCCAACAGTCAAAATAGGAAAAACAATGCACAGTTGTCAATTCCCTGCTCCTGAGACTACTCAGTTCCTTCAGATCAAACCACCCACCCCTCTTCAACCAGGTAAACATACTTCAAGGTAGTCACTCAAGCCCCACTGATAAATAATTAATGAGCATTCATTTCCGTTTGACCTATCACATACCTTCAAATCTGCATTCTGCAAGGCAGTAATCTACAGCCATCTCTGTGGA